TTTTTTTTTTTAAGACAGGGTCTCGCTCTGTTGCCTGGGCTAGAGTACAGTGATACAATCATAGCTCACTGCAACCTCTAACTCCTGGGCTCAGGCAATCCTCCTGCCTCAGCCTCCGGAGTAGCTGGGACAACAGGCAGGTGCCACCACACCTGGCTAATTTTAAAATTTTCTGTAGAAGTGGGGTCTGGCTATGTTGCTCAGGCTACTCTTACGCATTTTTTATATAATTATAATCAGTTCTGAATTTCCTCATTAATCTCGTTATTTGAAGATCAACAACTTAAATCCACAAATGGAATACAGTGTAGCATTTAAAAGGAATGAGCTAGATTTTTGTGTTGGCATGAAAAGATCACCACAATATAGTGCTGAAAAAGCAAGTCTCTACACAAGACATAGAATGATTCCATTTATGTTTCAAAAATAAGACCTATTTGAACTTATCTACAGACCTAGTAACTGAATTGACGAGTATGAAAATAAGGCTGGCATTACTCTTGCAGTTTTAGTCCCCTGATTATTTTGTGGCTCATGACTGTTGTGTTTTCCTTCTTGAAATGTAGAAAATTACCAAAGAAATGGATGGCTTTCTACAAAACTTGAGGCAGAAGATCAAAATCGGAGTGGTAGGCGGGTCAGACTTTGAGAAAGTGCAGGAGCAGCTGGGAAATGACGGTAAGTGATATGTTGCTGATCACATTTTGGTAAAAGATTAACGTCTTATGAGAATATGGGGGCCTGTAGCCAAGTATCATAAGCAGCCCTGAAACTTCCATTCTGTCTGCTTCTGTCTTTGGGGAAACATTTTCTCTGCCTTTATTTTTCCTCTGCCTTTTTTTTTTTTTTTTTTAATCCCACGTATGCTCGTTCCCAGTTCCTCTGCTATTAATCCTGTAAATTTCTGGAGTTCCTGATGGAGCACTTGGTACTCAGATGTGTGGGTAGATTTACCTAGAAAGGTGAGTGTCCACATCTTACACACAGTAATCTCTCTGCCTGGAACACTTCTTGTCCCCATTCACTGCCCTTCTAGCCTCAGCTCAGGCCCCATGTCCTGACAGTCCTTCTCATCCAGGAGTGGAGGTGCCCTCCGGGTGCCTCCTTCCTGTTGCCCTAACACTGCCTCCCAGAGTTCCCTGATCGTGACTCACCCAGGCTTCTCCCCCACACTGAACCAGTCTCCAGCACAGGACCCTGGGAAGCTGGGAAGTCTTACTGACCCCACTGGAGATTCTGATTTGATAGGTCTGTGGGGCCTGGAAATCGAATTTTAGCAAGTGCCTCCAAGAGATTCTAGTACACGACCCTACTGATGTAGCACTCTGTTATTGTTAAAAACTGTCTGGTTATGTGTTTGTCTTAAAAGACCAGGAGTAGGGTTATTCATCTCCATAGCCCCAGGGCCTCGAGGGTGCCTGGCCTATAAGAAAAAGTAGGTGGGGAGATGGATGAATTGATCTTTCCACCCCCATTTCCCCAAGAGTCTTCACATCTTGGAACCAGCTCCTCTAGAGCAAGATTTCTCAACCTCTGTGCCACTGACATTTTGGACCAGGTAATTCTGTTATGCCGGCTGTCCTGGGCATTGTAGGGCAATTAGCACCATCCTTTACCTTTATCCACTAGATGCCAGCAGTGTACTCACACACTCAGTGGTGACAACCAAAACTGTCTCCAGACATTGCCACATGTCCTCTGGGAACAAAATCACCCCTATTTGAGAACTACTGTTCTAGAAGTAATATCTTACGGTACAAATCTGTGTAGACTGTATTTATTGGATCACGATTACTGGAAGAGTAATTTATGTAATCCTTTTGAAATTCTCTGTTCCACTTACACTTAATTTTCCTTGTAAGTGTTCTTCTTAGAAATGCTATAAACAACATAATGGGGCACATTAAGCCCCAGAAATCCTATTACCTGGCCATGATTGCCCTTTCTTCCTCTAGTCATATATTTAACCACATGCGCAGAGAAGGTTTTTGTCAGAGTAGCATAGTCTGTACCTTCCAGAGAGTGTGCAACAACAGAATCAAAACATTCACAAGCTAGAAGAAAGCTGAAGGCCCACCTGTATCAGAATCATCTGGGGGAAGCTTATTAAAAACAGACGGGGGCCCTACCCAACACATAGGGCTATCTGCCTTTCAACAGTTGCCTAAAGTTTGAGGATCCCTTCATTAAGGTTTATGTGGGTCGTCTCCAAATTTGAGTGATGATATGAATCACCTGAAGAACTTTTTTTTAAGGAAATAATCTGGTTTTTAGCCTGTCCCTGGTGATTCTGATCCCGAAAGCCTAAGAATAGAGCTTGGAAATCTGCATTTTCACTCACTGCCCTGGGGCTGCTGGTTCACAGTGGGGTTTGGGAGCCAATACAGGCCAGCATCTTCCTTTACAGACAGGCAGGCTGAAGTCAGGGGCACAAAATAACCCATCACCAAGTCTCTTATATTTAGCCCCATCATCAGCATTTAAATTTGTAACCAAAAGAGCCTTTTTTTTTTTCAATAATGAGATTTGTTCCTCTCCCTATCCATTAAGATAAGATAGTCTTTCACAGTCCTTACCAGAGTTTAGCAGTTTTATTGGTGGTAAGTATTATCAAGAAGTAGAAACAGAGGGCTGGGCGCAATGACTCATGCTTGTAATCCCAGCACTTTGGGAAGCCCATGTGGGAGGATTGGTTGAGGCCAGGAGTTGGAGACCAGTCTGGGCAACATAGGAAGACCCTGTCTCTGCAGGAAAAAAAAAGGAGTAGAAACACAGATTTTGATTCATTGCAATCTAAATCTTCTTTTGTTTTGATTGTAGTGATTGAAAAATATGATTATGTGTTTCCAGAAAATGGCTTGGTAGCATACAAAGATGGGAAACTCATGTGTAAACAGGTAGGTTCTTAAGGTTTGAACTTTGAACCATGTGACCATTACATATTCTAAATTGATAACTAAATTTTCATAATTTATTAAAGATATATAAATTTAATGTTTCTATTATAACACAAACTAGGACAGGCTGCCTCACTATACGCATTTTTAAGAGGTACTATGTAGCTCTTAGTAGTAGTAAGATCATTCTGTTCGCACATGAGAGAAAGCTGAAGTGGAACAAATATATTTTTTGTCAGTGCAGCAGCAATAAACTCTTTGGGCCTTCCAGGAAGCGTTTCAAAAATAACGAATACAAAAATCTTGATTAATGAAGCAGAAAATGCTTTTGACTAAAGCCTTTCTGGTTTGCTTAATGTTTTCAACCAGAGAAAAAAGAAAGAATTAAAAAAGCAGTGGGGCATGTCACCATCACTGCTACATCAGCCTAGTGACTTCCGAACAATAGTGGCTGAAGACCTGGGCTTGCAATAAAGCGGTTTTGAAAATGCCTCCTGCTGAATCAAATAACTCCAGTATTTTCTTTATCTAGAATATTCAAGGTCACCTGGGTGAGGCCCTAATCCAAGATTTAATCAACTACTGTCTCAGCTACATTGCAAAAATTAAACTCCCGAAGAAGAGGTGAGTTTGCTTTTAGCTAAGAAGCTCTGCTGGAATGTGGAGTAATGTCATTTGGTGGGTTCATGTGGGTAGTCTCCAAATCTGACTGATTTATAAGAATCACCTAGGCCAGGCATGGTGACTCATGCCTGTAGTCCCAGCACTTTGGGAGGCTGAGTCAGGAGGATCACTTGAGGCCAGGATTTTCAGATCGCCTTAGGCAACATAGCAAGACCCCATCTCTACGAAAAAAAAATTTTGCTAGGCATGGTGGTACATACCTGTATTCCCAGCTACTCAGGAGGCTGTGGTGGGAGGATCACTTGAGCCCAGGAGTTCAAGGTTGCAGTGAGCTGCGATCACGCCACTGTGCTCCAGCCTGCGTGAGAGTCACCTAAAGAGCTTTAAAAAAAATACTGATCGTTAGCCTGTCCCCTGACTGTTCTGATTCAGAAAGTGTGAGAGCAAAACTTGGAAATCCACATTTTCACTCACTGCCCTGAGGGTGCTGGTTCACTGCAAGGTTTGGTAGCCTTCAAGGGCCAGCTAATTTAAATCTGAAGCCCAGCATTCGGTAAGGAGTAATTGGAAACAGTCTGTAAAGCCAGCGGTATAAGAGTGATGGCGTAAATGATGGCATGTCCCCAGGATGGAAATTTATACAGCCGTTGGAAACCGTCTGCCTTCAGAGGTTGTCAGTGAGAGGAAACAGCTATGAAACGACATGTGAAAAAAGCCACAGAAACCCCAGACCTGGAAGTCTCAAACTGGAAGTCCCCAGGACACATCCACACAAAGCCAAATCTGGTTGGCCTGCAGTGTTAAATAAAATCTGAATTAATTGCCATCATTTAAAAGTCCGATTTCACGTTTTAAAACATCTGGACTTCCGGCTTCTGTTGGCAAATCTGAAGACCTGGCTACTCTGGGTCCCCACTGCCATGTGCCAGCTGTCACCTGAGCCGCAGCCCCCAGGCACCTATGGGCATGTGTTGCAGCTTTTCACAGGCTGCTACTCTCATCTTCTGACCTCTGTAGGCATTCGATTTGGGAACCTACCTCCTGCTCTGGGTACTTTGACTATCTCAATTCCCATTTAAATAATAATAATGTACATAATGCCCACGGTAAAAAGATTGGCAGGAAATGGACCCAAATGCTAATAGGAGCTGTATTTTCGTGGTGAGCTTACAGGTGATTTCTTTGAAGTACTTCTCATTTTTTCCCCCAGGTTTCAACACTTATGTAACACCTTCATCACCAGGGTGAGAAACATCTTTTAAATGGCAGTTGAATTTCAGGGCATGCGGCACTTCAGAGGCTGCTTCAGATTGTTAGTGCCCATAAAACCAGTGCCTGCTGCTTAGCACCTCCAGTCAGAGCGCAGGAGCTTCCCTGTGCCCGGGAGGGGCCTGGGTGGGCCGGCTGGACCCAGAGCTGGTCGTTGTTGCAGATGGGTGATGGGCGCATGAGGGGTCCTTATCCTATTGTTTACCTTTGTGCATGTTAGAAATTCTCTTAGTAACAAGTTAAAATATACATACATCCCAGGTCCATTCCATCTCTGAAGTAAACCTTAAGTGAGGATAAGAGGCCAGGTGCAGTGGCTCACACCTGTAATCCTGGCACTTTTGAAAGCTGAGGTGGGAGGATCACTTGAGGCCAGAAGTTTCAGACCAGCCTGAGCATGAGTGAGACCCCGTCTCTACAAAAAAAAAACAGGAAAATTACCTAGACACGGGGGTGTGCACCTGTAGTCCCAGCTGCTCGGGAGGCTGAGGCAGGAGGATCGCTTGAGCCCGGGAGTGTGAGGTGCCGTGAGCTGTGATGACACCACTGCACTCTTCCCAGGTGACAGGGTGAGACCCTGTCTCCGAAAAAAAATAAAAAAGGTAGGGGCAAGAATAAGGGGAAAAAAAGACAAGACAAGGCATAACCTGTCCTCAGAGAGTATCTAGTGAAGGAGAGGGACGTGCAGAGCTGTAATTCCAGAATAGTATAAGACACCCAGCGAGTCCAGGAGGCAGAACTAGGACCAGCCTTGAGCAGCGCTGTCCACGTTTACGCCAGTACTAACCACACGCCCCACGTAGGTCAGGCAAGTGCAGTCAGACTTCAGAGCCCACGTCTTCAGGGAGGAACTGATAAAGCACCCTAATCCTTATTTTTGAGAAGCTTTCTAATGCATTAGCTTTCCCCCATGCCTTGGGAATGAGCTCTTTTTCTGACCCATAACCCTGGGGTCACCCTGGGTATGGTCACCTCACATGTAGGACAGGCCTGGATCTCTGCCAACTCGAGGACAACCTGGACATCGGATTTTTGAAAAAGTTTTTTAGGCGAGCATATTTTGTTAAATCATTTGCCTCCTTCCCTACAAGTTGTGCACAGCAGGGGAAAGGATCCAGCTGATTGGGATTTTGTTTTTACCTTACTTGATGAGTATTTATTGCCTTCCGGTTTACAAAGTACCTTCACGTAAACTGGTACATTTGATTTTCACAGGGCCCTTCAGAGGTGACCAGAGCAAGTGCCATTAGCCTTTCTTCTGTCGGTGAATAAACAGGGTTGGAGAGATGCCCAGAGCCCAGCAGCCTCGTGAGAGGCCACGCTGACCTTGAACCAGGTCTTCGGCCTGCACTTGGCATGTGAACTCCCAGTATTTACAGTGCCTGCTGGTGGAGATCAGGGCTGAGTGATTAAAATAGCAGAAAGAGACCAGGGAAAATGTTTTTGTAGGGTTCCCAGGCATCAACGCTTGGGCTGGAAGATATTTTATACTGCATAAGTTGTCACAAAACGCTTACATTTCATCTACCAGAATGATTGTCTAGCTTACAGGTTATCTCAGTTTTTAAGAAACTGTTTTGAGATTCAAACTGGAAACGTGGGAAAAAACAGTTTTTAAACATTTTCATTCAAAGTAAAATAATATTAGGCTGTTCTCCTTTTCTGTGATCAAATCATTTAGGAGCAGTCTGCCACTGGTTAAATTAAATTTCCTCAGTTATTATTGAGGCTCATTGGACTTTTTTCTGTGTAGGTTTGCTTGGTACAATCGGTCTGTTCAAGACTTCACTAGCAAAATCGGAGTCTAGTGCATATATTTTCTTTTTTTTTCTTTGAGAGGGAGTCTCACTCTGTTGCCTGGGCTAGAGTGCCATGGTGTCAGCCTAGCTCACAGCAACCTCAAACTCCTCGGCTCAAGCGATCCTTCTGCCTC